CATTTGAGACTGCAACCTATTTTCTACTAGAACACTAACTGATATAATTGTGAAGCATGAAAAAATTGTACCTGAGTATCTGATTAATAAATTTATTTCATAGATCTAATGTTAGGTGTATCCTATTATCCAGTATTCTAGTTCATATATATGATTCAGAAACAAATATATATTTAAGGTATGACTTGTGCCTTTGAGGGAAAAAATCAAGGTGGAGAACAAGTTCAAATAGAAAGTAAGTGAAATAATATAAGACAGAGAAGGTAACCAACACATAGAACTATCTGGTAAACTATAAACAAGAACTAGGAAGTCAGGGAAAGCTTTGTGGAAAACAGTGGTATTACAGTGGGATCTTAAAGAATAGAGAGGATTTAGAAAGCGTTAGTCAAGTAAAGTGGAGAGAAATGGATACTTTGAGCAAGAAAACTAAAATAAGCCAAAACACTAAATTGGGAAAGGATATGGTTGTTTGGTGAGCAAACAGTATAATGCCTGACTAGAAGAGAGAAAGCTTTATTTAAAACTATACAGCCTTAGCTGGTTTTAAGTCAGATAGATGTAGCTATGTAAATATTTATTATACAATTTATATATTATCCTAAAGACAAGTAGTCCGAGAAAAAATGGGTTTTGCCATAAAACCAAAAATTAAAAGAGAGTATGGCCAGAAAAAATACAGTTTTAATTTCTATCTCTATTAAATAAACTTTAAACAGTCCTCAATTTACTCATTGTACCATTGGCCCAACTGTCTACATTATTCATTAAAAGCTGTCTACTTTGGTGCCCATACTTCAATTCTAGCCCCTTGGATGAATTTTTTTAATAGGCTTCTAAATAGGACAAGCAATTCTCAACCAGAATACCTCTCATGCTTATCTCAGCCATTTTATGAAGGATGTTTTGAAGCTGCTTTAAAAATGTGGCTAATGATCTACTGATCGTTTCTAAAGTCTTCCAGCTATCACACCATCAGTGAATTAATCAGATAAAGAGTTTATAGAATTTGAGACCAGTTCTATTATTAATATAACCTTCTTCAATATTTCTGCTTGCTACAGAGAAATTTATCAGGATTAAAAAAGATGCAATGGATCTAATATTCTTAGCTTTTCCACTTTTCTAAAAGATTTGCCACTCAAGCCATTTCCTTACATTTTTTTTCAAAATCTAAGGAAGCAATAAAACACCTTGTTAAACAGTTAATGCTTACAGTACCAAGAATAGTTAGACTTCATCAATATGATTCTATTTTTATACACTTTATCATATACTAGGGTGAAAAAAGATATTTTTTGAAGATTTATTTGAGAGAGAAAGGGGGAGAGATGGTGCCCATGCTTATGTGCCGGGGGAGGGGCAGAGATAATTTTAAGCCGACTCTGTACTCACACAGCCCATCATGAGGCCTAACATGGGGCTCCATCTCATGACCCCTGAGATCATGACCTGAGCCAAAATGAAAAATTGGATGCTTAACCAACTGGGCCATGAAGATGCTCCAAAACACATTTTAATGTGGGTATTTTTGTGTCCCCATTTTACTGTGGACTACAATCAATTGTCAGGGTATGAAACAAATTATTAGTTTCAAAATACTTAACAAACATGCAAATGTACACATAGAAATAAATATTTCTATGTACAAAAATACACACAGACATAGAACTTTAAGCCTTTAACAATGTTGCCATTATTTAAAACTATTACTAAGTCACTCTTTTCAAATAGCTTTCATAGACCTTCAAATAATCTTTTAAACATCCTTAATAGTGGTAAAATCTTGAAGGTACAAATGAGTTTCACAATCATGCAGAAATCATTTTATCAAGTTTTTCCAATAAAATATGGGTTCAAACTGAGTTATATAATTTTTTTTAAATTGAAAAAGTACAAACAAAAACGAGTCCTTATAAAAGTGATCCTCAAAGTATGTTTCTGCTACTTACAAATGGACTAGAAATTGCAAAAGATTTGAAATAATTGTGACTAGCAGCAATACTTTCACAAGTGTTTAGCTTCCTAAAGTGACTACTTGGAATGACCACTCTCTTTCAAAAAATTATTAACAGCATGTTTGCAGGGAGAGGCAGAGCTTCATGACTCCACAGTCACACTTTGAAGTCACAGGGCATCTTTTTTTCCATGTAGTTAACCATATTTACGTCATTAATCCTCTAAATATCCCTTATGAGAGAAAGGCCAGATTATCATTCCTTTTTTTTTTCCCCAGGTAGCTGAATGAAGGCTGAATAAGGAAAGAATCTTGTTTATTTCATGAGTTGATAAATGAGTCTAGGCATACTGTGCTAGACTAACATTTGTGCTATGTAGTTAGCAAAATGTAAATGAAATGTTTTAGCTTTATGCTGCTGGATAGAAAGGCATTAAATGAGGTAGATGTATCATAAAATTTATAGAGATCTATTAAAATGATTATTAATTCATTGCACACTTGCCTGAAAGAATTCTTGCTTCATGTATGACAGCTACTTATTAAAGAGGCTGGCGTCTACCTTAAAATACACTCATAAGCATTCTACTGGAGTCTACTTTATCAAAAAAAGAATGCTACTTGATTTTAGAAGGAAAAATATCTTCATTTTGAAAAACCAAAAATACAAATCAAAAAGAGAGGAAGAAAAACGGGCAAAGATCTATCAGCAAACTCATGTAAGAGCAAACCCTAGGGAAACTGGTGAACAGTTGCTGGTTGTGGAGAGTTAAAAAACAACATAAATGCATGATTACAAGTAAAATTTTACTGAAATTATTGAAATGGCTATTCTCCTAAACTTTTAATTCTTCTGTTTGAGAAAAGAAAACCTGCTGCTCAATATTCTAGAATACCTATGTGCCCACTTCTTCCATTCTACTTATTCATTAAATAAATATTTAGGGCTCCCAGCAGTACCGTATTTAAATAGGATATTAAAGATCTGACAGGCCAAAGACAAATTTAGTCCTCACTGTTACTCCCCAATCCTATTCAACAACTGAAACTGTAACAGTGCTCCAGCTGGTCTTAAGGGCTAACTTGCTTCAAGTTAACACACTCCTTGTCTGCTGATTTAAGGCCCTTGATCTGTAATAAAACTAATTTGCTTTCTTTGAGATCTGCAGACCACTGGCCTTGGACTAAGAGACTAGAACCCTCCCAGGGCACAGAGGCCCACAAGTATGCTTAAAGCCACCTCGACTTTCTGATTAGCCCAGCAATCTTTCAGCCAATTTTTTTTTTTGTTTGTTTGTTTTAAGGCCACACGAATGACTTCAATGATCTCCCTTTGTCCACCTTTGTCAATCTTGCCCTCCACTGCATAAAGAACAGAGTACTCTTGTACAACCACCCCTGGGTACCAAGGAACCAGATCTTGCACAGCCTCCAAGTACCAAGATAACTCGGTAGCTGGTATCACCAAGTCTACATGTAATCAATAAATGTTACAGAGTACTATACTCCCTTAACCGATTAAACCCCTTTAAAAACCTCTGGGCCACACAGAAACCTAGGAAGGCCTTTGGACAAAAGTCCACCTTCTCCCCAGAGGGCTGGTCTCCTGAATAAAGCTCATATTCCTCTCCAACCAAAACTCATCTCTTGAAGAGAGGAGGGTTGGGGTAGGGGGTAAGAGGGTGATGGGTATTGAGGAGGGCACTTGCATTTGATAAGACTGGGTGTTATACTTAAATAATGAATCACCGAGCACTACACCAAAAACTATGTGCGATACAGTGGCTAACTGAACATAACTTGAAACACACACACACCAAAAAACAAAACAAAACAAAACAAAAAAACAGAAAACAAAAAAAACCACCACCACCACCACCACCACCAACAACACCAACCAAACAAAACCCTCCTCTCTTGGATATTGGTCTTTCCAGCAACAGGCAGCTGAACTTAGGTCTCCCCAACAAAATGATTCCAGTCTTTTAAGCAACACTTTTTAGGGATAATATTCCAAGAGTCTGAAAAAACTCAACTCCATTTTTAATGAGAGGTGTTAGTAATTAATGACCTACAAAACATAAAGAGTATCCAATGGGCATTCTGAGCCCTACATTTTGTACGGGGTTAAGTGGACCAAGAATAATTCTCAGCCACACAAGTTCTAATCACACCTCCCACACCGGCTGGCTGCTTAGTTCTGATAAAATCATGTTTCGGCGTGGGTGCCTCAGCTGTCTGGTCTATAAAATGGGGTAATTTAATAGGTACCTGTCCATACAACGCTCCTTTGAAGTTAACTAATGAATGCTGTCTTGGATGCACCTGAAACTTCAGATGCTACTAAAGTATTGAGTACTATCTGGAAAAGAACACGGGGTAATACATACACATTAGTGCTAAATACGGCAGTAATAATAACAGCCCCCGCCCCCAACCCTCTCCTCATCTCCACCCCGCTGCACAAAGCGTCCTTAAAACCTCAGCCTAGCCAAGTCTGTACACTCTGGATCCACGACTGCAACAAAAGCAGCTAAAAGGCCAACACCAAAATGGACCAGACAAAAGAAAGTGGCTCTGAGCTGAGGCAACGGGCCACAGAAGGGGGTGTGTGCCGACTCTTCCCAGAAGCTCTCAGATGAAACAGGGCTCAGTTCCCCAACTCGGACCCGGAGGGCATCCAACAATCGACCCAGTCGCCCACCACCCGCTCCCTGCCCTCCGCCGGAACCCTGCTCCCCCTGCCCCCAAGCGTGGCCCCGATCTTCACGGCCCTGGCTCGCATCTCCAGACCCGGTGTAATTCCACCCGGTCCAGGGTCGCGCCCGGAAGGCTCCGCAGAGAGCCTCAAGCGCGCAAGTTAAACCGCTGGGGCCGCATCACCGGAGGCCGGGTCGGGAGGCAGCCAGGCCAGCCCAGCCCTCCAGCAGTCCTAGCTCCCCGACTGGAGCCCGGCAGAGCCACCACAGCCGGTCACGGCCGGCGGAGGCCAGACACCGTCGGGGAGGCGCGCCCCACCGGGCTCTGAGCCGCCAGACCTTACCTGCGTCTGTGTCCGGGAGCCGTGGGCTCCGCGCCCCCTCCTGGCGCGCCCCGCGCCCCACGCCCCGCAGCCCGGCTCTGAGGACTCGCAGCGCCGCGGCTCTACCGGCCGCGATGCCGGTTCTGCGAGACGGGAAGCGACAGGAGCCAAACCCCGCGGAAAGCGCTCCGGCTCGCCTGGGTCTCGGCGCCCCGGCGCTCCGCACTACACACCGCCCAGCTCACTCACCTCGGTGGGTTCCGCCCCGGCTGAGTGTGGGCGGCGCCCCGCCCTGACCCACTGCCTACCCGAGCGGCGCCAGCAGTGCCGGGCTCCGCGAGACCCGGACGAAGTTGTTCTCTCTTGCCGTCCCCTTGCCAGAGCAACCGAAGTTTCCTGGGCCTCCTGCAACCTCGGCCTCACCCAGTCGCAACCGGAGGTTTGAGTTCCGAGCCCACCTGCTGGGTCTGTTGCTTCTTGTGCCTTAATTTCCACCTTTGTTCAGCTGGGATTCATTACTAAAGTGTTCTTGACTTCATTCTTGACGAATTACAGTTCCTTTGTGAGTTGATGACCAGAAGTAAATCAAAAGTGCTGATTCAGGGAGTGTTGGGGGGAGAGGGTCCTCTTGGAGTAAATCTTGCCTTGTCAACAGCACATCAAAATAATGAAAACAGATGATCCAGAGACTATAAATAAGGTTCGGAACATAAAAAGCAAGTTTTATTAGTTGGTTTGAGGAAGCGGAGGAAGCTCTAAGGAGGGAGCCTCTGAAACTGTATTGGTTTTTCTGCTAGATAGAAATTTCAATTTGCCTGAAGTGGCTTATTTGGACTCCTGTGCAAGACTGGGGTTGCATGTAATGATTTCCCACCAGAGAATCTAAGGCAATCAATAACAAAACCAAAGACATCAAAAAGTACAGGAAACTACAGACCAATATACCTTACAAATATTAATACAAAACTCCACAATAAATACCTGGCAACCTAAATCCAACATAAACAAAACATTTTATAGCATGACCAAGAAGGACTTCCCTGAGGAATGCAAGTTGGTTTATTGAAGTAATACTCTTAGAAGAAAAGGCATATAGACATTGGGGAGGGTATGTACTATGGTGAGTGCTGTGAAGTGTGTAAGCCTGATGATTCACAGACCTGCACCCCTGAAGCAAATAATACATTATATGTTAATAAAAACAATTAAAAAAAGAAGAAAAGGCAAAGGCCACAGGATCATCTCAATAAATGAAGAAAAAACACTTGATAAAATCTAACACGTTTTCATGATAAAAACATTCAACTAAAAGGGAACCTCCTCAACATGATAAAAGGCATCTATAAAAAACCCAAAGCTAAGATCATACCTCATGAAGAGTTTCCCCTAAGATCAAGAATAAGACAAAAATGTCCTCTCTTCTTACTTCTTTTCAACTTTGTACTGCAGGTTTTAGCTAGGACAATTAGGCTAGAACGGTTAAATACCTAACAGTAAATACAGCAAATACAAGACAAAGAATTATTGAGGAAAACCAAGACAATTGCCCTTGGAACTGAAGGGCATTAGGACACAAGCTTTCACCTCAATGGATAGAAATGATCTATACCAAGCTGCATTATTGTGAAATTGCAAAGCATATAATGGCCAGAGAAAAGATTTTACTAGATTCCAAGGAGGGAAAACATAGATCATTTATGAACCTTCAGAAATTAAAATCACATTCGACTTTTTGACAGAAACAAATTCTGAGGAAAAATTATGTCCAATCTAAAAAATAACATGAGGTTAAAAACAGGTATTTCAGATATGCAAAATCTTAAGTATTTTTTTTTCATGCATCCTTTCTCAGAAAACAATTGGAGGATGTGCTCCATTACAACAAATGGTTTGCCAGAAGAGAGAAGTGAAATTTACACCCAAGTCAACTATGGTTTGCACAGTGGCCCTCAAAAAGATGTTCACATCCTAATCTCTGGAACCTGTAAATATGTTACATTACATAGCAAAAAGGACTTTGCAGATGTCATTAGAGTTAGGAACTTAAAATAGGAAGACTACTCTAGATTATCCAGGTAGGCCCAATGTAATCACATGATTCTTTAGAAGCAGAAAAACTCCAGCTGGAATCAGAAAGATGAGACATAAGGGAATATTAGAGAGATTTAAGGCCTGAAACTTGCTAGAATCTCCCAGTGCTAGAGGAAACAATATGAAAAACACAAGGAAGAATGTGGGCAGCTCATAGAACCAGAAACCTGGCTAGATTCACTGTTTTTTGTTTTGTTTTTTAAGAAATAAATTTTTAGAAGTACAAAGTTTATTACCAACAGGCCTGGCAGAAGAAAGACAAGACAATAAGTCTTAGCACTTTCTGATTAAGGCATGTAATTTAGTCTCTTATTTACTATGAAGCCACAGAATATAGTCAGAGAAATGACAGGATTGAAAAATCTGGCAAATAAAAACAGGATACCCAGTTAAAATTAAGTTTTGGACAAAATTTTAGTATAAAAATACTTATACTAAAAAAATCTTTCATTGTAAGTTCAAATTCAACTGGTTATCCATAGTGACCTAAAAAGTGAGCCCTCAAAACAATGGTCCTCAACACTGATGGTACATTGGTAGCTCCTAAAGGGCTGGTGAGGATACCCATGCCCACTGTCACCCTGGTATGACTGAATCAGAATTCCCTGGGGTGGGAGCCCAGTTGAGTCCAGTGTACAATCAGGGTTAAAAACTGGAACCCTAGAGAGGAGTCAAGGTGTACAGGTCTGGTGAACTGAAACCAACCTCCCCTGCCAGTTTACAACCTGTAAGTAAAAAAATATTCTAACAAATTTTCTAACAAATATTCATAGTCTCAAAGTTACCAATGAAGACTACGATTTTCAATACTTTGCAGAAGAGCTTTAATTTTTTTTTTTTTTTGTACAGACAGATAAAAGCTCCACTTCATGGTTATAAGGTACCAAATAAATACTAATTTAACTACTAGGTAATTGGTATCTCAATATTTACTGATAGTATATGGCACCCTACCAGATATAATGGCTAGCAGAATATGAAGTCATCTCAAAGTCCCTATGTCAGTAGTCTTCGCACTACCTAAGAGTTGAGGTTTCTAACTTCTGGCTTCAGTTACAATTACCATTCAAAATTAAGATCAATAACAAGGGAATTATAACTTATGCCTAGAGACCCAAAACTGTGTGCCACAACTCCTGCCATTTGAGATTAGAGCAGGGCTTTTAGGTGATCTGAGACAGCAGGCAGTTAGAAAGAAAAACTTGAGTTAATGGCATCATTTGCTGAGGCAATCTTGGAAGTTGTGAGACCACCATGGGAAGACAAAGAGTCCTTAGGAAAATTCTAGATTTAGGACCACAGCAGAAAAAGAGCTAAAGAAGTTCCTGTTGGAAAGACTGTTAAGAACTGTAAGAAAATCATGTTGTAGAAAGCAAAGGCTTTCCATGGGAGTGTGAAGAACAAGTAGATGGTGTCGGACATGGCAAAGAGGTGAAGGAGGAAGAGGAAAGGCCACTCGGTTTGATGACTCACAAGGCAATACAGGATAGCTCAGCTGTTGGGCTCTGGAACCAGAAGCCCTGGCTTGAATCCCACTTAAATTCATAAAACCTGAGAACAAGTTTCCGTGTCTCTTTTTGCCTTAGTTTCTTCATTCAAAAATAGGAAATAATGTAGAGTTATTATGAAGTTTCAATGATTTTATCTACATAAAGTGCTTAAAATGGTACCTCACATAGAGTAAGGACTCAGAAAATACCAGTTGTTAATTGCTAGTATTATTGACAAGCTTTAAGAAAACAGTTTGTGTAGAATAATACTTTAGTTGGGTCTCATTTCAGTGAAATGACGCAAATCCAATTCAAGTTGACCCAAGGACAATATTCACAGGAATAAGTCTATGATAGTTTTATGCATATTCAGATCTAAGTGCTCAGATGTTGCCATCAGCAGGATATCTCAATCTTTTGGCATTATTTTTCCGTGTTGGCTTTATTTTTAGGCAGGATCAGCCTATGCAGTGGCAGATTTGGCCTCCAGTAACTCCAGGCTGAAATTCAAGCTGTTTAGCGATTGCAGTGGAAAAAGAATACCTCTTTCCCACTAGTCGCAGCAAAGTTCTAGAACTGAGGCTTAGTATACAGACTTTGACTGCATGCCCACTCTCATCAATCACTATGAAAAGAAGGAGGTAACTAGCAGGTTGGCCGAGTGAGTGTCATTTACTCACCCATAAAACTCATGTGTGAGTGTACTGAGATGTGGATGTTGGGAGGAATTAGCCTCCTTACTCAGGCCATAAAGGTTGAAAGTGGAAGAGGTATAATTTCCAAAAAGAATGTTGGGTACTATTATCAGAATATGGAGATGGGTATTTAGGCAGGCAAAAATAAAATGTCTATTTTAAGGGGTGACTGTACGGTTAAATGAGCACAGAATAAAAGATTACTGAACATCAGATAAAGAGCCAGGCTGAAGCTTGAGTGATGGTAGAAATCTGTATGTAAGTTTCGACACCTTCTTCAAAATGTTCATCATCTCAGGAAGAAAAATAAAAGCAGTCTAATGATATGATTTACATGAGGCCCAGACTTGGGAAAGTTAGCATGCTCAAAGGACAAGGATCAAAGGGATGAGTGTTTCATAAAAGAAGTGCTGGTGAATCTGTGGGTCCCAGATTGGGCAGGGATGCAACAAGGCCAGAAAAACACTGGCAAAGTAATCTCTACGTTCCTGCAGTAGGAATATTACACAACTAATGCTGAAGTTATAGAGCAAAGCAATGCTCCTAGAGATGGGTACGTAACAGGAATGGAGATGGGAAAAGCCTTCAGGAAAAAGTAGTTGTGTGTTTTCCCTTTGACACTCTTTCTTCATGACATAGAAGACTATAGACATACTGCAATTTGAACTCAAATCAACTGAAATCTGAAAAAGCTGAATAAATCTGATTTTGTATTTACAAGTAATCAATACACACTAATTTGTATTTTATTACTGTTGGAATGAAATGTGACTCCATCCAAAACACTTTAGTGACACTAAATCATAGGCTTATTTAGTTACTATATTAAATTATAATTATATATAATGCAGTTATTATACTAATTAAAATACTTAACATATTTATCATAAATATAGATTAAATAAATTAGCATTACTAAAATCAGG